TGACACAGTGCTAACTGATGGGCTGACCGAGCTAGTAGAGAAGTTCTGGCGAGATGAGTCGGCGGGCACAGATAACCCACTAGAGGAGACGCCTTCACCCGATGACAGAAGAGCCGAGGAGCTCACGAGCCAATCAATCAGCTGCAACGGCAACCGGGTAACTGTCCGAATCCCATGGGTCAATGACAGCGGTAAGCCACGTGTCAGGTCCAACAGAGCTCAGGCTGAGCAGCGGCTCCGCAGTCTACAACGGTCGCTACAGTCACGGCCAGCCGTGAAGCAGCAGTACTCTGACGTTATGCAGAAACACATTGCCAAGGGTTATGTGAGACGCGTGGACCCGGATGAGATAGCCAAAGACGGCAACGACCAGTGGTACCTACCCCATTTCCCGGTAGTACGCTCAGATAAATCCACGTCAAAAGTGAGAATAGTATTTGACGGTGCAGCCCGCTGGGATGGACACTCCATCAACGATGAGATGTTTACAGGTCCTGCACTTCAAAACGACATGACCAGTGTGTTGATCCGATTCTCACTGGAACCAGTTGCGCTTGTTGGTGATGTGTCGGAGATGTTCCTCCAAGTCAAACTGGCGGAACGTGACCAGCGCTTTCATCGCTTTCTGTGGTATGATGACAATGGCCAAGTGCAGGTGTATCAGTTCACCCGTGTGCTCTTCGGCGCTAAGGCGTCACCGTATCTGGCAGGACGAGCGGTGAAAGAGGTCATCAAGCACCACGGTGATGAGTACGACTCTGACGTCGTGCAGTGCCTAAGCAAAGACCTCTACGTTGACGACATGCTGTCATCACTACCATCCACACAGCGTGCCATCCAGGCCAGAGAGCAAACGCAGCAGCTACTTGCCAAGGGCGGTTTTCACATGCGGAAATGGCTGTCGAACAAAGCTGAAGTGATGAACACCATACCAGAGGAAGATAGGTCACCTGATGTCGTCCGAGATGTGGACAGTGACACCAGCCTCCCAACTGTCAAGACTCTCGGCGTCAGTTGGAACGCCGAGAAGGATGCCTTCACCTTCCAGCATCAAATGAAGGACATTACGACATTCACCCGACGCTCTGTGTTGCGCGGCCTGGCCTCCATATTCGATCCGCGTGGCCTGATCTCGCCATACGTCATCACGGCTAAGGTACTCCTGCAGGATGCCTGGTTGCTGGGACAGGGATGGGACGACCTGCTGCCAAAGGAACAAGTCGTCAAGTGGCAGGGTTGGTTCCAAGGCCTCCCAGACCTGAGTAACCTGGAGATCAGCCGCTGTTTCAAGGATCCACAACAGCCATCCGAAGACGCCAGTCTTTCCGTGCACTGCTTCTCCGACGCCTCAGATCGGGCGATAGCAGCCGCTGTGTATGTCAGAGCCAGCTACCCAGACGGTACCACCCGAATAACGCTAGCGATGTCGAAAGCGAAGCCGGCACCAGTGAGGCGACAGACGATCCCGCAGCTTGAACTGAGAGCAGCTGTGCTTGGCGTTCGCGTTAGTCATCTCGTCGCTGAATCCATCGGTATCCCAGTGTAAGCTCACACATTTTGGACGGACTCGATGAACGTCTTGGGCTGGGTCCAAAGCCACAGCCGGCGCTACAAAGTGGACATTGGCAACCGAATCTCTGAGCTCCAGACCTCAACGAGAGCACACCAGTGGCGACATGTTCCCGGAAAGAACAACCCTGCAGACAAAGGTACTCGTGGTTTGTCTGCTGCATTACTGTGCCGTGACGCAGTGTGGTGGTCCGGTCCACAGTTTCTTCGCCAGCAGCCAGATGAGTGGCCTCAGATGAAGGAAGTCAGCACATCCTCGCTACCTGGTCAGCTCAAGACGGCGCTAGTTGCAGTCGTCCCTCCACCCTCCGAGATCCTGGGTCGCTTTAGCACATGGTCGCGACTGGTACGCGTGACAGCATGGTGCAAGCGATTTGTGGCAAACTGTCGGCAGGCAGTCAGTGACAGCAAGTCCACGAAGGGGGATGCCGCATCGGACAGCCAGTCCAGCACGCCAGTGAGAGTGCCAGTACAGCTTGGCGGCACCCGCTCCATCAGTGTTCCAGTTCTCAGCACTGACGAAGTATCAGTAGCAGAGCGGCACTGGATTGCAACTGCCCAGAAGGATTGCCATGGTACAGCATACCATCGTCTACAGTCTAGGCAGCCGATGTTGAAATCGGACCCTCTGGCACCTCTCTGTCCCCAGTTCGATAGTGCAACAGAGTCACCCCTGATGACGGTAGGAGGTCGATTGCAAGCTACAAAGAACATGCCAAGTGGCGTACGCCACCCAGTCATCCTACCAGCAAAGCACCGAGTAACCCAGCTGATAATCGAACAGGAAGATCATCGGTGCTTCCATGCAGTTGGGCCACAGCATCTTCTGGCCAATCTGCGACAACGCTACTGGATTGTTCACGGAACATCAACAGTCAAGGCCGTTCGAAGCAACTGCGTCACTTGCCGTAAGAACCGTGCGGAGCCAGCGTCCCAGATGATGGGCCAGATTCCAGACTTCCGAGTTGCAGGCTCGTTGAAACCATTCAGCCGTACAGGAGTTGATTACGCGGGTCCCTTCCTGACCAAGCAGGGCCGAGGTAAGACGCAGGCTAAGCGGTACCTGTGCCTGTTCACATGCCTTGAGACTCGTGCCTGTCACCTAGAGGTATCCTATGGCCTCTCCACTGAGTCATTCCTGTTAGCATTTGAGAGATTCACAAAGCGCCGTGGTGTCCCGCTTGAAATGGTCAGCGACAACGGGACCAACTTCACTGCCGCGGAGCAAGAACTCCGTGAGGCCGTCCGGGCCATGGACAAGGAGAAGATCGAGAAGCGACTGGTCAGTGATGGCGTGCGATGGCGCTTCAACCCACCTAGAGCACCACATTTCGGCGGCGTATTCGAATCCCTCATCAAGACGGCTAAGCGCGGACTCACAGCAGTACTTGGGAAAGCGGACGTCACAGATGAAGAGTTAGTGACTGCCATGTGCCAGGTTGAGGACATGATGAACTCGCGCCCGCTGACAGTTGTAAGTGCCGATGCAGCTGATTTGCAGCCTCTAACACCAGCACATTTCCTCGTCGGACGACTCGACCCACCAATGGCTCTGGAAGTGAAAGCAGACGAGCACCCCAGCAGAGACCCACGCAAACGTTGGTTGTATGTTCAGCGGCTTGTAGCAGACGTGTGGAACAGGTGGCGAGATGAGTATGTTCCCTTGTTGAATGTCCGTCGTAAGTGGCAACGTCAAGGTCGCAATGTAGCCGTAGGTGACATCATGCTGTGTCTTACATCAAACACTCCCCGTGGAACATGGCCCATGGGTAGAGTCACAGCAGTGCATCCTGGTGCAGACAAGCTCGTCCGAGTAGTGGATATTAAGATCGGCGACAAGATCTACCGACGGTCTATCCACCATCTAGTACCTATTCTGGACACCGAATAGTTTGTGCCTTGTGTATCTGAAGTGCTACAGGCAGCCCTGTGACAGTACTCTCTCTCTCTCTCTCTCTCTCTCTCTCAACCTATGAAGTTTTTCTTTCATCATACAGTACCGTAGTAGTACTCACTCGTCACAGTTTGTTTGCTGACCCTGTGCTCGTGAGTGAAGGGGGATATGTTCTGGAATATTCCCAGCTTGTGGTGAATCTTGCATGACCTTTCATTGTACTCAGGTTTCATTTCTTTTATTCTAGTGCATGCTGCTGGCGCCTGATGTATTGACTATTGTTACCGCAGGCCAGTCTCAACCTTTGCATTGTCTGAGATTCAAGTAGCGTATCGTTTGATGCATGTGCTGTCTCCATGCTATCTAGTCGTAATATATTCACTCGTCTTTGCATTTGTGCACAGTCCTGTGGATACTCGCAGGCTGCGGTTGCGATCTCGCTTTCGTCATTCTAGAATGTATACTTCCATGCCTTTGAAGTTTTGGAGTGGTCAGTTTTGAACTGTAGGAAGCAGTTTACAGTTTTGGTTCTTGCAGTTTTATCTCAGAGGAGAAAGTTCTTGGTCTCATACTGTTACGAGTTGCTGTTGTATCTGGTTGAACGCATGCCGGGGCAACAGAGGGCAGCATGAGTAGCCAGGAGTCTTGACTGTTTCCTCCCCCCCCCCCCACGTTTAGGAGTCTTGACTGTGAACTTTGTCCCCCATGTTTACTTACGAGGAGTCTTGACGACGTAATGTTGCCCCCCCCCCCCCCACCTGCGTTTAGGAGTCTTGAGTGGGTACTCCCCGCCCCCTGTTTAGGATTCTTTGACTGCGTACCCCCCCCCCCCACACACACAGACACGTTTAGGAGTCTTGAACGTGAACATCTCCCCCCCCACGTTTAGGAGTCTTGACCGTGAACGTTTGCCCCCCCCCCTGTATAGGAGTCTTGACTGCGTACTTCCCCCCCCCCCACGTTTAGGAGTCTTGACCGTGAAATTTTGCCCCCCCCCCATGTTTAGGAGTCTTGACTGTGTACTTTTGCCCCCCCCCCCACTTTTAGGACTTCTGCCCCCCCCCATGTATAGGAGTCTTGACTGTACTTTTGCTCCCCCCCCCCCCCCAAACACACACCAAACCTACACCAAACACACATCCACACACCACACACTATTTGCGGCATCGAAATGCGATGATTTGGTCTCTAAATTTTGAAACCTTTCCGCCAGAGGACGCCCAGAGGGATTGTTGATGTTTTACATTTGACGTTGTTTTTTTGCATATCAGATATGTGGTAAACCTCTGCCTATGCTCTAATGCAACGGTAGATAGCCGGACCACACAGCAGGAGCAAAACTACACCTGTTGATGATGATACCGATTCATATTTACCGTTCCGATGATTGTCTTCTTCAGAGTGATGTAGGTTCTTTAAAAAGTCAACTTGAAGACTAGTTCTGCTCCTTGTGTGTGTGTGTGTGCATGTGCACGTGTGCGTGCGCGTGTGCGTGTGTGTGTGTGTGTGTGTGTGTGCGTGCGTGTGTGTATTGCAGTAGCACAACCCAGCCCACACATCTCGTATCATCAGCAACTGTCATCGTCCCTACGCCCGGTCTATCAGGCCAGACCGCCGCACAGAAACCATCCTACAGCAAGCCTTCGCGCGACACATTCAACCGCAGCCATGGTCAACAGTAAGTCATCGCAAACCAGAGAGTTTTTCTAAGTACTCTCATATCGCGGTTATCCGGACCCCGAAATTACAGGCACTTTTATTTCTCGGGGCACCCTTTGGGTGAGTTTCAGTGGAAATACCGTAAAATTCCGTTAATAAGCCCCGGGCGTATACTTTGCAGAGCGTCAAAAACCGGGCGTATATTTGGGCATGGGCTTATTTTAGGGCATGGGCGTTATTTCGGACGCAATCTGCAGAAGATCAATCTATCAGCAACCCACTAGTTGGCAGGCGACATGTTTTGCTACATTTTTTGGCAGTTTGCTACATTCCAACGGAACATCGCTGTCCTCGCGCGCCGTGACAGTGTTGAGTTCTGCACTGTGCTGCGTGCAGTTGGAGTGCACGCACTCGATCTACAACTGTTCTACAGTTTGTACGCGAACGCACGCTCGTGCGCTGGTCATTTTGAGTCCACTTTACGCCCTGGGCTTATTTCGGGCATGGGCGCTAAAACGGACTTGAAGTGTACACCGCCTAAAACTGGGCTTATTATCGGACATGGGCGTTATTTAGGGTGGGCTTATTTACGGAATTTTACGGTATTACTACTCTTTTGTCATGCGCGGTTGAGTCACCGTATATACATTGGTATGCTGTGCTTGATGGAGTTCTAGCCTGGTCGCTCTTTGGCACTCCGTTCTTCGGTGCCCGACGGTACTGTAGTGAAAGAGAATTGGGATATTGACTGAGAATTAGGTGATGTTGAGTATAGTGTAAGAGTGAGACATGGGATGAGGAGGGTGGGGCAGAATTTGAAAGCTGTCCGCAGGCATGGAAACTGGAAAAGACGGCAAGCCCTGCCGTGCGTACGGGAAACCTGTACATGCGCCAGCAGGGGGTTCTTGCCAGGTAAAAATTATAGGGCTGGGGAGGGGGGGGGGGCTGGCAGGGAAACATTTTCTTTGAATGGCATGAAAAAGCACAAAGTGCCCATGGACTACATGCAAAGTTGAGAGAAGGAGCGATCAGAATGAAGGGTTAGGAGCCGGGCTAATCGGCAAACGTTGACGCGGGTGTCCACGGAGTGCTTACAGAGCAGGCACTGAGGAGGCGCGCTGATCCCTACCGCATTCGGTTTCTGAGTGCTTTCCACTGCGTTGGAGGCGCACGCAGGCACGGCAGCAGAAGGAGTTGTTGCACTGGTCCTCGGTGAAATTGCGGCAGGTCTTTCTTCTCAAGAATCAAGATGGGTTGGCGTGCTGGACTGTAGTGTGACTCCCCTCCCAGCGCCGACGGACGGAAGCCCTGGTCGAAAGGGGCACCGGGCATGGACACCTGGGTGCACCAGGGAACATCGTGAGCATGGCGGGCGACCGCGGCTAGTGAAGGACGGCTGCCACAAGTTAGGGTGAGAATTTGAAGGCTGTCTGTCTGCATGCATGGAGACTTGTCACTCTCGTGTTCCAGCAGCAATTTCACACATCCCTCATGCTTCCGATCTTTTGCAATGTCTAGCACTGTTTTCCGTTATTGGTAAGCAGTGCAGTATCCAAGGTGACACCGTCACTGTCATGTGACGCGAAGGACTAAAGGGACAATTTCACACATCCCTCATGCTTCCGATCTTTTGCAATGTCTAGCACTGTTTTCCGTTATTGGTAAGCAGTGCAGTATCCAAGGTGACACCGTCACTGTCATGTGACGCGAAGGACTAAAGGGACAATTTCACACATCCCTCATGCTTCCGATCGTTTGCAATGTCTAGCACTGTTTTCCGTTATTGGTAAGCAGTGCAGTATCCAAGGTGACACCGTCACTGTCATGTGACGCGAAGGATTAAAGGGACCGTCACTTAATTTTTTGCTGACTACCCGCCAAAAAAATCTTTTCGTTTCATGTGTCAGACACGTCCGCGTACGACTCGCTACCTTTCACGTCAAGCAATCTGTTCACGCCACATGGCTGGATAGCGCGTACATGCAAACATGATTGAAGACTTACAAAATTAATTTTTACAAGTCCAGGCGCTCGGCCTAGGCGAGCTGCTACTGACTGTTGTGAGAGTACTGACTCTGTACTCAGTACTGTTTTCCGTTATTGGTAAGCAGTGCAGTATCCAAGGTGACACCGTCATTGTCATGTGACAGCATCACCTTGACAACGCTGGTATGGTTCCTGTACGCTGCCATGTGAAGCGGACTCCATCCTCCCCGGGGGATCTGCAACTTGGGATTAGCTCCTCGTTCGATTAGTATATTTGCTAATCTGCCATGATCCCGCATTCCACACTACTAGTGCAGTAGTGTGTAGTTCAACCAAGTTTCGTCTCCATCATTAATGTCTACATTATGGATACTGCATATGAAGTGGACGACACTGTAGAGGATTTCATCTCAAAGTTGTCCGCCGTGTATGCCGAATCCAGGAAGGAGCATTCCTCCCAGTGAGTGCCGGTACATATGAAATGGACGATACTGCAGAGGATTTCATCTCAAAGATGTCCGCCATGTATGCCGAATCCAAGAAGGAGCATTCCTCCCAGTGAGTGCCGGTACATATGAAATGGACGATACTGCAGAGGATTTCATCTCAAAGATGTCCGCCGTGTATGCCGAATCCAAGAAGGAGCATTCCTCCCAGTGAATGCCGGTACATATGAAATGGACGATAGTGGAGAGGATTTCATCTCAAAGATGTCCGCCATGTATGCCGAATCCAAGGAGGAGCATTACTCCCATTGAATGCCAGTGTGGCCTCTCAGTCCTTGATGGTTTCCATTACAGTTTACAAGATGTTGAGCATAGCTGCAGCTGTTCAGTTGGACCAGCAGCTTGAAGACTTTCCTTTCTGGATCCATTGAAGACTTTCCTTTCTGGATCCATTGAAGACTTTCCTTTGTGGATCCATTGAAGACTTTCCTTTCTGGATCCATTGAAGACTTTCCTTTCTGGATCCATTGAAGACTTTCCTTTGTGGATCCATGCCTCGCGTGCAGCATGTACATGTGTACACGTAGGCACTGCGCGAGATGATCGGCTGTACAGAACTCGGACCAGAAGTGACGTCGCTTGTCAAGCAGATAGCTGGCGCTATACACGCCGTCCTCTTCTCCAGGGGATAGAGTTCGACGTGCACTTGGAAGGCAATCGGCGGTTGACGTACGATTCAGCGCCTTGTAATCTACTCGGGCCTCCGCCTCATGGCCACAGAATTCCAAAACCGAACTAAGAAAAAACCTTGAAGAAGACTACTCTCTACCTCTCTTTCTTCCTTTACTTGTCTTTTCTTTAAAAAAAAACTCTACTTCAGCGGTATGGACACTACGTATGAAATGCTGTAGGCTGTAGGCTACAACCTTCACACCGAGGCTCAACTGGAGTGACAGGAATGCGCGCTAACAGGCTGTGAGTTGTAGCCCGCAGGCATGGTGATCAGGTGACTAGTGTACGGATCGGCACATGACCGCTTTCTCAACCGTGTTCCAGTGTTCTAGCCAGGTCAAAATAGTAGGGGGCGGGCATGGGAAAAGTTACCCATGACCCATTTTTTCCATTGTCCAAAATTGTCTTGCCATGCAAAATGTAACATACGGGGTGAACCCCCGACTTCACCCCTCACAAATGTGCCCTGATGAACCCTCTAGTAGTGACTATCGACTGTATTTTCGTTGAATGGCGTGAAAAAAAACACAAAAATCGGAAAATGAGAAGGGGCGGCACTATTTCACAGGGGGGGGGGGGGCGCAAATGGAGTAGGGGGCACGGCGCCCCCCTACCCCCCTTTGGCTAGAACCCTGGTGTTCGATTGGGAATAAGAGCTGAACGCTGCATCGCCGTCTTCTCGGACCAAAAACAGTCAACTCGGCATCCGAAAGACTACAACGTATGGGCCAATCGCGGTCATACGTACTTTTATAAGAACGAAATGGCGCTTTTAGTGACATTTTCCATACAAATCCCCGTCTAGTAGGGCGCAGTCAGCCAGTTTTGGTGAAAGTGCGCGAGTACTATTGGGAATAAAGGAGGAAGGAAGCGTCTCAGCTTCATCGGACCAAGACCATTCGACCCAGCACCCTGAAGAGCACGAGTAGTGACATTTTTTCTAGACAATGCTTCCTCGGTTAACCCGTTTGGCTATTTGCAATCCTCAAGTAGTCCAGCATTGCTTGTATGTCAGGGTTTTAGCCAGGTCCAAATAGTGGGGGGGGGGGGGGGGGGGGCAGGGGAGACGGATGCTCCGTAACCCATTTTTCCATTTTCCAAAATTGTCTTGCCCTGCAAAATGCAATGTATGGGAGCGAATCGCCGACTTCACCCATACGAGTGCGCCTTTATGAACACTCTGTTTGCGACTAGCCACTGCGTTTTCATTGAATTGCCTGAAAAATCGACAAATGAGTGGGGGGGGGGGGGAAGGGCACATTTTCTCAGGGGTCGCTCGATTAGAGTGAGTGTGTGGGGGGGGGGGGTGGCTGCGTCCTCCTAACTTACCCTCCTTTGGCTAGAGCCCTGTATGTTGTGAGGATCTGTGGATTCTACTCAAATTTCTGTCTGCCAGTCCATGTGTTGTCTACCGACTTGTGCGGACCATTGGTGTTTTCTACTCTCTGTGCTGCTGAAATCTGATTCTCCCAGCGGATCGGGTACAGCCACGGATCTGCAGGCGGCGGCATATCAGGCGCTGGCATCGGGATCACCTCGGTCAGTTTGTCTCGTGTGCGCTGGTGTCATCTTGTTCAATGTGTGTCTGGAAAGGAGAAGTGGGAGGGAGGGCTATGTGTGCTTGGGCGTGCATGAGTGGATGTGGGTGCTAGCGCGCGCGTGCGTCTTAGGCGGGGTTCAACTGTATGCCGTTTAGCCGTGTACTAGCGGATGGCAATCCAGCCAGATTTCCCCAATCCAGCCAGATTTCCCCAATCCAGCCAGATTTCCCCAAACATAACAGTAGTAAACCCTTCTAATTTTCCGCAAACTCCAACGCAGCCACTTACACATTAAGGAAACTTCACTTCTCAACTCCAAAACGATGGACCAGACCCGAACATTTGGTGTAATGTAAATCTTAATTTCATTTGAATCGCAGTGAAGAGACCGTTTTCGAGTTGAGAAGTGAAGTTTCCGAACATGGCAGTAAGTTAGTAGGCCAGGTTTAGTTCACTCCTCTCGGGCCAGCCAGTGCTGCAGTCGTGACATCAGTCTGACGGTGATAATGCTGTGTTGATTCGTTCTCTCCTGTGCACCGCTGCAGCAATGCAACCGAAAGGTTTATGAGTGCTGCTCAGCCTCACCCACCGCCTTCAATGCCACGAAAACCGTAAGCATGAAAAGAAAGAAAAAACTTCATGTCAGGGAGTAGTAAAATACCTACTACTCACTGCATTCGACCCCACGGAATACCACGGCATGCCATTTCCATCCCTCCCCCCCCCCCCCCCAGAGGCCCTCGGCACCGGAATGTCCACGGCGCGGTACGGCAGGAGCCACGGAATGAACTCGCAACAAAACTGCCCCTCACGTGAGCAAATCACCATGGGTACTCACGGCACGGCACTCACGGGACCGTAGTGGAAATCGGCCCTTACAGGGTGCCCAAATACAGGGTAGATGTCTGTATTTCGTGACTGAAAAATCTGGGTGCGGCTTATACTCCGGAGAATAATATGGTATTCGTCACCGATTTTTTTGTTGGAAAGCAATTTGGGACACTTCTTTTGGAATCCGATTTTGATCGGCTGAGAAGCAGTTACAGGTCTTGCTCACTCTAGTACAGTATACACATGCATGCAATTTAAGTCAGGATTTCGCAATCCCCCCCTCCTCTCTGGGCGTCGGACAGGGATTGCAACCTGAAGGCCGCGATGCCCGTGAGGCTTTCACACAAGACCGCCCGTGCCATACGTTCTAACTTTACCCGGTACGCCTGATCGACAGAATCAGGTTGGCTCACAGGGATAACGTTATTAGCCTGCAAACACAACTGGAAATCAAGAGCGGGTGCACAATATACCGAGTAAGCACCCCCCCCCCCCCCCCCGGATTTGACCATTGCTCTTGAGCTCCTGCTCGTCGGTTATCTTATTGCCCATAATCTGTAGTTGTGTCCATGCGTGCGTGTTGGTGTGTGTGTATGTGTGTGTGCATGTGTGTGTTTGTTTGCCGTGGTTTCTTTCGGCTGTGACCGGCTGTACCTGTATATTTGGATGATACCTGTCAGTGACAACAACAGCGGACTTAACCCACAGGAAACGTAAGGCACTAATGTAGCTAAAATAGAAGAAATCACATGGAAACGAGTTATGAAGCAACCATCCACTATTCATGTGATTTTTTCTATTTTGATTATATTTATTGGCTCAGTAACCGAGTTAAATTTGCACTAATGTAGCACTTGCTATATTTATAGCTATATTTATGTAAGCTGATGATGGAGTACAGATCATTTGCTAGAGAAGAGTATTTATATCTGTCCTTGAAGACAGCGTCCAGGTAAAAAAAAACGATTTACAGTGCTGCTCGATGAAAGCCGATCAAGTGAGTCAAGTGTGCGCGGTGCACCACACCTTGTAGGGCGGCATGTGAACCAAGTACACTCCAGCCATGCCTTGCTGCTTGTATAGTGTGAGTGCAGTTCTGTGCAAAACAAACTTTGGATATAAAGAACTAATTCTCCTGTACAATGGTGTTCGTTATATCAGGAGTCGGCTGTGTTCACATCCGCGCTCAGCCTGTATGATTGACACTCTGCCACTGTGCACTGTGTATTGTCGATTGTGTTTTGTGCCTGCCTGTTTCAGCTACTCTCACCTGAGCCGCTGCGGCTCGAATGCCGACGGCGTTTCCGTGAGTGGCTACTTGACAGCGCGCACGTAAGTACAATGTCTGTTCAGCGTACGCTGTAGAGATCGCCTGTCCGTGTCTTCACTGTCCAGGCCGGCTTGTCCGTACAACAGAACTGCGTTCGCAGTGCCATGTCAGCTACTGGTATGATCATCACCATGTCATGGTGTATTGCCTACAGATCATACAGACGTGTAGTAGCCTATCCTGCTGCTTCTGCTTTGGCCGGAGCTTGGTCAGGACACTTTTTTTAGTAGCAAACAATGAATTGATTGCGAACAGGACATGCAAAATCATCGTATGAATAGTATGATTGTGCCTTTGTGCTACATTTTGCTGGACCAGTTTCAGCTGCAGTATGCGCTGGAGTTAGGCCTAATGGCTGTGCACCATGCATGTGGCAAGCCAAAGAGTAACGACACTGGCCGGTGGATATGATATAATTATGTGCAGCACTTTACAAGCACATCGAACTGATAGCCGTGCGAAATATATCCAAATTGTTAGGTGTGCACGGACGCTTCAGATCCCCATGAGTGCCGCAGTGTCTTGTATAATAGCCTGCCTTGTATAGCAGCCTGTTTTGAATACAAGCTTGATACTCAAGATGCACTGGCGGCACATACGCCTGGTTTTCGTGTTGACATACACATACATAGAATGCCTAGTTTGAATAGAAGCCTAGCCCTGATATTGGCCTCTACAGCATAAGCCTAGCCTTTATACGTGACATCAGGGGTGCATTCATGGTTCATGTTTTGGACATGCTGTTCTTGTCACGACCAGACCGGAGAACAATGCGGCTGCCCCTCCAGCAGAAGCTTACGGAAGTCTTCACCTGCCAGCAGTGTATGACGCACTGCAAGACATGAACCAGAACAAGTCCGTATCAGAGTATGTCACCAGCCTGTGTGCTTTTGATTTGCATGTATCCGCCCATCTAGAGTTGAACTTGTCTTTGTGTAGATGACAGTGCCGCATGCTCATGTGTGTATGTATGTAGGGTGTAGAGTGTACGTATACCAGAGAAAGAGGGAGGGAGGGAGAGACAGAGACAGAGAGAAAGACACACACACACACACACACACACACACACACACACAGGCGGATTAGGAAAAATTGCGAGAGCTTGATACAAGCAAAGATCTTCCTTCGGTGTTGCTCACTTTGTGTTCACACTGCAGCTCCCCCTACAGCCTTTATGGCGAAGTGAACGATGGCGTTCGTACCCCGTCTCGTGGTGCTTCACCAAGCGTTGGAGCCATGGCAATGGCAGCAGCGGTGCCAGCCCAGACAGCAGGACGCTGCACTCCCAACAGGTGTGTATAGGATGGCGTACAATTTATCTATCATCAAAAGGATGCACCCAGTGTGCCCAGAGGGCTCCGGGTACGTGGCTCGCACATCTGTGATGTGCGAGCCATGTACCACCGGCGGCAACCTCATATCCGCTATTTTGACTTTTTAGTACATTTGACGGCCATTTGCTGGTGTAATGACCAGACTACCCTGACTAAACACGAGCTACCCGCCTGGGTTCGGATGCATCCAATGTGCGAAGAGGGCTCGGATGCCACAGATGCAGTTCGGACGCATCACAAATTTTCTGTGTCGTTTTAAAAGGCTATTGTGTCACCAAGGACAAGATAATTAAACAGAGTGGGCCCTTTTCTGGTATGCGTCTCTTCTAGCTGTGTGCGCAACTTTGAACTGTTGAGTGGGAGAGCTTGGATAGCCAAGCACAAATACGTCTTGGTAACTCAAATATGGAGGGGTTCCGGTTCACGGAACGACATTGCACTTGTTACTTGAACGGATTAGGTGACTTGAAAAGGAGTGTCACCAGAAAACCTTATTTGAGACAAGTTCTAGTAGTTGAGACAAGGTTGAGACAAGTGAAGCATGCAAAAGGGAAAAGGCAGCAAAAAAAGAGCGACAGGCTCGAGTAGCATGGCTACTTTATGACACGTAATTTGTATACGCATAAATAGTACACCGTAGGAATGCATGGATAGGCTGTGCGCATACTCGCACTGCCTTGTATTCTTCTTCTCCTTGTGAGACAATGAACGAATGTTGATAACTACTTACGTAACAACAAGTATGTGCTTTGAGTGCTGAGACTGAGAGTATACGAGTTACAATGGTGGCAGCGGTGGGATTCGAACCCACGCCTCCGGAGAGACTGGAGACTTAGCTGCTCGGCATTCGCCCAGAACAATGAACGAATGTTGATAACTACTTACGTAACAACAAGTATGTGCTTTGAGTGCTGAGACTGAGAGTATACGAGTTACACTCGCTGCGCATGCTCCGGGCTGAGAGCTGCAAAACGGTGCACGCGATGCGTGCAGCAAGACATCAGCATGACGTCAACATGATGTAACACATAAACAAATAAAGACATAATGAGCGTAACGCGGATTCGTGATGCATATTCACGACATAGCTGTGTACTAGACTGTCTAGATGCCGTTCACCCTCTCTCTCTCTCTCTCTCCCTCTCTCTCTCTCTCTCTCTCTCTCTCTCTCTCTCTCTTTCTCTCTCTCTCTCTCTCTCTCTCTCTCCCTCTCTCTCTCTGTCTCTCTCTCTCTCTCTGTCTCTCTCTGTCTCTCTCTGTCTCTCTCTCTCTCTCTGTCTGTCTCTCTCTCTCTCTCTCTCTCTCTCTCTTTTCTTTCTTTCTCATTATGCCCAGGTATGGTGACAATACGGCTGGCCCTGCATTGCAACCTTACGGCAGTCTACAACAGCCAGAGAGGTATAGCGCACTGCAGGAGAGGTATGTAACACATTTCATGTTCTCTATGCATACAGAACTGCCGGGTGCTGGCAGACTCTGAACAACTTGACAGCTCTGCCTTTCTACACTTATGACGACGGCTTTTCTTTCACAACATGATAGTGGCATGCAATTCTGTGGATCTACACTTGCTAGTTGCTCGTTGTTAACTATGGGTGGAGGTGACTGATGGCTGGCTGGCTGGCTGGCTGGCTGGCTGGCTGGCTGGCTGGTCGGCTGGCACCCGGTTGTCTAGTCTTGTCCAGATGTGCCCTATGTCCTGGGTTCGGGTTGTGAGAATGTGTCACGTGATGAGCCACAGTGATCACGATTACTCTTTGTGAGCCACAGTGATCATGACTACTACACTGCAATGTCACTGATCTGCTTGCTTAGCTTCTTGGGCCAAGCTCTGCACTGACAGTAACAAAAATTTCAGGCACTGCTTCTCTGTCTGTATGAGTCAACAGTGCCGCTTTTCCTGTGTCTTGTTTCTTCAGAAGCGGAGTTCCTTCATTGCGTGAACAGCCACCAACACCACAAGCCAGCAGTCGAGCGGCGTCAGTGTGAGTTGGCCGGGAAGAGAAGGTGTTGTTGTTGACCTCCCACGCTAACTAGCATTTGTGCGTGCGTGTATATCTATCTGTCTGCTTGACTGTCTGTCTGTCTTTCTGTGCTCATTTTTCTCTATGGTGCTTTTGCTTATCTTTGTCCATTTTAGGAAACATCCAGACGCCGCCATGGCCGAGTAAGTTATAAATCATTATTCTCACGATGGCTAACCTCAGGCTGCTATGGATGTTGTCGTCGTCGTCGATGTTGTTGTTGTTGTTGCTGCTGCTGCACTCCTTTATTTCAATTCACTCACTGCAATACTTCTATGGCTGTGCTATGACAGGGCTCAGCTATTGTGATAGCAGTGGTTTAGTTTCCTCTCCTCCCCCCCCCCTCCTTTTTTAGTGCACCCACCTTCGAATGCTTTTCATCCCCTCTTTGACTTGAGTATTTGTTGTATCTTGGCACTGAAAAGGACACACTGGTAGTCTCGGAGATATGGTACCAAATCGTTGCTACAATGAAACGAGTCTTGTATCACTATGTGACGGAAAGAGTGCGAAATACAACTCACATCGGAGCAGCTGACAAATTGAGAGGTGTACACCGTTCAATACGAGGTTTTCGGCAGCGTTCTTACGAGCCCTCAGCCCTAGAAAACGATCAAGTATTTAACTTGTGCGCGTCTCGTACCCGTATTTTCATATGGAGCTGTTGAATGATCTCTTCTGGATCCTAGCCTTTAGTGCTATGCACAATTTCACTTCTGCCATATGATGAGCAAGCACGTTGATGTGATCGACAGTGTCAATATTAGTTTGCATCTTAAAAGTCTGCATGTCTCAGCCCCACGACAGATAGGAAGTAGTTCTGCTTCTGCGATGAGCAACGTGATACGGAATCACGGCCATTCCGTGCCCGGAATGCAAAACACAAAGGAAAAGTAGACAATTATATGTTTGCTACAGTTGGTATTTACTGCGACTAGCGTGGTAGGTTTTGGACGTGACTAAAACGGTAACTGGTCGAAACATGGATGAACAAGAAGACGGAAAAGACACAAATCATGCATGTTCATATTACACGTGCACGCGAGACAGGCGACAGTTAGGTGAATGCCATCACATAAGTACACAGCACATTGTTTTACAAGAAACGAGTGATGCACGCCGGTGTCCATGCCTGGCATTTCATATGGCTCCACACTTGCAGTGCTGGGCTGTGGGCATTGCGGCCATAGCATTGCAACGTACTGTGGTTTTTGCATCTCGTTTTGTGAAAACCCGTGACATTTTGAGGAACAGCTGATCGTTCGACACATTCACAAACGTGACATTGTGCACTGCGATTACTGGAGCTCGCGTCTTCTGCTCTTTCCGCCTTCTGTTCTCTGCCATCAGAGCTCTACAGTTTGAGGAGTATGAGTGCTACGGACGAGCACCTGTTCCCTTGCATGATGCTGGAGAAGCTGCAGCTGAAAGATTCATGCATATTCCGTGAGTTGCATTCTTCATTTGAATTCGCAAGTACACACAGTACGAAGTAGTGGTAGCGACTTCGGTGATGGTTTCATAGCAAAGGTATTTGCTCCCCACACCGGAGCTCGCGCTTTTGTCGAAAGCTCAATGGACTGCTCGCGTGCTCTGGATGGCTGAGTCGTGAGTCAGTCAAGTGTCAAGTCGAGTCCGGGGGAAAAGCGTGAGCTCCGGTGTGGAGAGCAGGCACCTTTCCTACAGTACTGTCGGGCACTGAAGAACGGAGAGCGTCGGAGAACGACCACGCTAGACTTTCATCAAGCACAGCATATCAATGTATACAGTATACACGGTGACTTAACTGCACACAGACTAATGCATGAAAATATGAACGGTCTAGGCTAGGAGGCTGACCCCCCCCCCCCCCCCCCCCCCCCAGTTCTTCGGCGACCAACAATACTGTAATTATACACAGGCTGAAGTAATTTTTCTTTTCGAGCTGAAAGTAAAAGTCACTCGAACTAAAATTATCTGAAAACGAAAGCCACAAAGGACAAGGAAATCTGGAAGGAACTTGAAACATTCAAATGCGCGTGTGAATGAGTAGTAAAATACCGGTAGTTTACTACTCCCTCCCACAAGTAGTGAGTTTAGGAAGAAAGGAGAGAGAGGGAGGCATATGCTGTATCCACTGTGCCACCGACCCACAAGCTATTAAATGAGTACTAGCAATTGTAGTAGCAAAGTTACAGCGAGAGAAATCCAGGAGCAAAAGTAACAATGGCACAACGACGAGAGAGACTCAGATCGAGTACTGTAAGCTCACACATTTTCGGTGTACTTTTATTTTCGGTACTTTCGGTGCATCTGTTTCATACCTAAAATTTCAATAAACCGAACAAACACTAAAAGACATAATCCAATAGGGAATTGGTTTGCTGCACCTAAAATTTCTGTTCACCTCTAACCAGGCCTTTTGCTCTCATACCGAAAATTTTGAGCACCGAAAATTTCTGAAATTGGAGTATATTTATTTTATTTATTTATTTACTGTCTGCACTTCATGGCACATAATGAAAATAGCCAATACAAAGAAGTGAGGAATATCTGTGGAGGGATAAAATCTGCGAATTAATGGACCAATAAAATGAGTTCTTCCCTGAGTATAATGCAGCCATACCTTGCTTATCCGAATATGTTGCTTATCCAATTATTTGCACGTTGATTGTCCGACCTCGATTGTCCAAACAATCAAGCTGACGCCCTGTGCATGTGTACGTGTGTGTACGTGTGTGTTGTTCCATAGTGGTCACATCAGCCCCAACCAGGCGCAGAATCTCCGCGGCATGGCACCTAATCCAGCGTGAGTTTGCGTGTGTGTACGTGTACGTGTGCGCGCGTGTGTGGTGTGTGTGTGTGCGTACGTGTGCGTCTAGACTCTAGTGGGTTCGCTGCCGGTCCCCACTGATGTGTTATTTTTATTATTATTATTATTTATTCTTCTTTTACTAGGGAATTCCCAACAGGCGTCAGCGCCTTTTTACAGGGAACCCTAGGTATAATTTGATGGATGAGCGAAATTCAGCTGGTGAACTAGACATGCGGCAAGCCGGTGGAAGTGTATTCCACCTGGCAGCGCCCAAATAAGAAATTGCACTAAAGCCATATCGGGTGTTAGCGGGGGGCAGAACAAGAGCAGCAGAGACTTGGCCACGGGTGGTGGCTGCAGTGCGAGCACCATGGGCGCGCAAGGTAAAGCGGTCTCGCAGAAGAGGACTAGCAAGTCCATTCAGGCAGCGGTAAACAAATACATAGGTTTTGAAGTTGAGACGTTTCTCAAGGGCGTACAAGTTAGTATGACTGTATAGAAGAGTGGTGGGAGTCATTCTATCCAACGAAAATATTCTCTTTAATGCTACGCGGCTGGCAGTAAGAAGCTTGTCATATAGGGTTTGTGATAAGCAATGAATATATGCAGTGCTGCCAAACTCAAATGTGGACTGAATGATCGATAAATAGAAAAGTCGTTTGCCAAAAATGCTGATATTCTGCTTTGCATGGACAAATGCTCCGACCTTCCTATTGACAGTTGCACATACTGCATCCACTTGGGTTGAGAAAGACAGATGTTCGTCAACCAGTATTCCTAAGTACCGAGCGTAAGCAGATGGGGCTATGGAAGTGCCCCGGCAGTTGACTGCGGTGCCAGGTGGCAGCTCCTTGCCCGGTCGCCTAAGCAGGACAAACTGAGTCTTGGACGGGTTTAACACCAGTCCCTTCTGATCTAGGTAGCGATCCAGAGCGGCAAGGTCAGCACTCAGCTGGGTTGTGATGATCTGGATGGACTTGTGCCTGATATAGAGTGTGATATCATCGGCATAAAGTTGATTCAATGCATGTTGGAAGCACTGTGGTGCATCACGGGTGTAAATGCAAAATAGCAGTGGGCCGAGCACGGAGCCTTGTGGGACGCCTCTTGTGCAAGGGCGGGCCCCACCTAGCTCTTGTCCTACTCTTACTCGCTGGACGCGTCTGGTCAGGTAGCTTGCAAACCAAGCAAGTGCAGTGTCAGCAATGCCAAGCATCTTCAACTCGTCAATGAGCTCTTGATGCTTAACTCGGTCAAAAGCTTTGCTCATATCTGCAAACACTATGCCGCAGTACTCGTTGTTATCAAGGGCTTGGAGCCATTCGTCGTGTTGCACTGGCTTTGGGCCAGGCAATGCAGTAACGTTAGCTGGGCAGACTGTGATCATCTGGGCTGATGAACGAATGTAAAGGAAATGCTTCTCCCCCTGGCCCTCGCCACACAACAACGCAAACTCTTGATTGTATCTTCAATACTCTTATATTATACCAAGAAATGACGAGGGCGCAGGAGGAGAGAGACAAACTTGGTGAGGACAAAAAGGACAACGGGAAGACTCCCGGGAAAAGACTCAAAGAAAACAACAAAGAACAAGCAGTAATAAACCGACGACAAATCGAGACGACCAATCAGGGACCAATACGTACAGAACACATGACCAAGACCAAGACAACCAGACCACGGACGAATCACACACGACTCTCATTCCCAGACCAAACTAGCACTGCGCATGTACAGCATTCACTTGACAGTCACTCTCACACAGACGGAAGCACATCCTCACACTCTGACAACGCGTACTCTTGCATGCACCACATACCATAAACGTCACACATCACACCATACTCGCGTGTACACCTAGACCATGACATCAGACACTGGACTCCACAAGACAAGAACCAAATACAACGACATGCGTAAATCATAGTCGTACTACAAATTCGTAACACGAACATTTCATTCTAACGATTTAACAAATTTAAAAAATTCGTTAACATTTGAAGTCGTTATGTACTAAACGATATGTGCATGTACAGTCGTTTGCCAGTTTTGAGACAGAATTCGTTAGAATTTCACCTCGTTAACCCACAAAAGTCCGGAGATCCTTAACTTTAATTGACGTTAAAATATCTGGTCTTCCAGTAGCTGGTCAGACGGTGATCATCTGGGTTGATCGTTACCCGTGTGAGCACAGCCAATGCTGAGTCTGTTACCATCAGATGCATGCATCTCGCTTTTATGTGACGTCGTCTTGTAGGCTCGGACGGCTGGCTTCGGTGACCTGTGTGCTCTTTAATCAGCTGCTCGTCCATGCCCTCATCGTAGAGGACCGTGGCACACGTTCGGCGGAGAGAGTGATTGGTTTTCTCAACGGCTTGAGATAAAACTCATTGCTATCTGGACGCTTGTTCGTGTAGGTTTTGAAAAGTGAGACAATGCACCGCTCGGGGCACTGCGGATTATTGAAGGCTTTGACCGTTCTGGGGGTCAGTTTCCAGGTCTTGAGACCACCCTGGTAACTCTTCGAAACTTCCTCCGTGTGCAGAAGGTACGGGCGCTCCCCGTCCTTCTCCACCAGCTTGATCTGGCTGGTGGAACCAAAGCGCAACGCACGGTGCTCTTCTCCGCTGCGCAGTGCGAAATTCCTGCCAACAAGACAAAACATCGTGTCCACAAGCTGCTTTGGGTTTCTTCTGCCCAACACACCCGACTTCCAAAGAACATCTTCATCTTCAGGCCATATCGCCAGGGCCTGCTTCGTCTTTGGTTGGCCAAATCTTGCAGATTGCTTCATGAGACCATCCATTACGTCCTGAAACGACTTGAATTCCCAGGAGCAAAGAAGCTGCAGTCAGACCCCTTTCCTGACAGCTCTCTGCAGCTCAACCATTATCTCGTGAACGGTTTTGGCACAGTACTCCTGGCCGCCACCGTCACGGATTTCGAGGACAAACCTTTTCAGAAGCCACACCAGCTCAATGTCGTCTAACTCCACAATTGGACGAGCGGCTGCATTTTTCATTTTTTTTCGTTTGGATACTGTGCTGAATCCCTTGATGATCTTCACTTGTCCCAAATTGAAACGGCCCAGGCCATTTTTTCTGGTGTTCTTGGGCACACTTGACTTTGCCATGGCACTAACCTGTTCGTACGAAACCAGGGCAAAGCGATTACTGGCGTTATCATTCGTGGAACTGGAAGACTCATCCGGGACTTTATTATGATCATTATCGTCCTTTGCTTCATCAGCCTCATCAGCAGCAATAGCAGCATCAGCATTATCATCAGCATCAGGGACAAGCGGACAACAAATCTCATCAAACTTTTCATCCTCCACATCTTGAACTAGCGAGCAGCAAGGCTCGTCAAATTCATCACTTCTAGTATCTGTGTCGCAGTTATTCACCGGAGCATCCGGAACAAATGAGCAGCGAAGCTCATCATACTCTTCATCAGACACTTCCAATGAGACCAGATCTTTGCCCATGTCAAACAAGCTTAGCTACTCGTCGTCCCAGAACACAAACAGCACGTTACCTACACCTATTCTAGCTACTGTTACCACGCAAGTTATCGAACTGTAAACGCTACTAAAATACTATTATTACAGGCTGTCGAATGCACAGCCAGAGTAACACAAGACAGCGGGGAGACGACGATCACAAGGACAGAAACAACAACTTGACCAGCATGAAATCACATAGAAAAAACAACATGGTAGTACCGGTCTTTGAAAAAGTCAAGCAACACACAAAACAGCACACAAAACAGCACACAAAACAGCACACAAAACGTGTACCACACTGATCTCCTGAAAAGGGTGGTCGATTCAGGATATTGCACAATGTCCGCGAGAATTATTTTTCATAATCCCCGCAGCGCTGCGCGCCTAGGGGATTTGAAAAATAATCCCCTCAGAACCGTGCAACATCCTATACAAAAAGAATGTGATTTCATCAACATTTCATTGGTCTTCGACCTACACGGGCAGGGAAAGTCCCTGTTAGTAGGCCTACAACACGGTCAGCGTGTTCTTGAGTGCAGTAACAACACAAGTGTGATCACTTCCAGACCAACGGGCGTTCAAGGCGAGTAACAAGCGCACTTGACGAAGGTGACTCTGAAATCTCGTGAGCCGTGATTCACGCGGCCTGGCATTCTTGCGTCACAAGGCACGTGATTTCACCATGCCTCTCGTAGTAAAATTCAAGAATTGCGCTCATGCCTTCAGTCACTTTGCATCAACAGTCGCACAAAAAATAATTGGTGGCGCAAGAAGAAGCTTGTCGTTTGGAGTGACAAGTGATCACCGCTGCTTTTCCTTGTCAGAGCCAACAATACACTTTGTTCTGCGGCCTTGGGAGCAGTGTTGAAGTAAAAATTGCGGTGGAGACGTCGCGGAGGGGCGAGCTTTCCTGCACAGGTATGACTTTGGCCGTATTTCAGCATGGTCGAGTGGAAAAATTCAAAAAAGTTTAATTCAAGGAAACCCCAAAAGAAAGATGGGGGACATGTCCTCAGCGCTAGAAGAGGTGTTCTACTATCTGCCGGTGTATAGTTCTGGCCAATTGACGACGTAGCTGGCTGTTTTGCCAGCGCTTGTAAATTGGCTATTTTCAAGACGATCATTTGTGGCGTCAGGGGGTGATGGACCTCGTCTTCTGGGATGCTGGCGTGGCTAAGCGGTACTGCCCCAGGAGCACTTCTAAGGTGAGGCAATGTTGGCTTCATGGAGTTTTGTTCATAGCTTGTTCGTATACGCTGTGGCGTGACTCGTTTCAAGACCCATAAATAATGTGATATTTCAGCCATTTTTGAGGGTATGCAAATTTCAAGGTTCCCTTCAGAAACTTTTTTAAAGGGCTTTGCACAATCGATCCACACCCCAATGGGAACCTACCTGCAAATTTTGAGCGAAATCGGAGAGATCCATTTGCACACATACTTTGGTATTCTCGGACACGCTCTCTTAATCAATACCAATACCATTTCGGTTTTTATCGTTCCACAAGACAGAGAGATTGGAAGCTGTAGTGCAAGTCCAAGTTTCCACGATCATCAGGAAACCTGGTGGCTGATAGTTGTGGATACGTGTAGAAGCCTCTGATATCTATGGGCATTGAGGACTCTTTGGACAGTGGAGCACAGTTGAGTATCGTTATCAAGGTTGAAACGGTGTGGCACAAGTTATGCGCAAGAGTTTGTTAGTTTTTCGGCTCTTTCTAACTTCCTTGCCGTGGAGTATTTCAGAGCTCATTATCAGTCTGGTGCTACTTTGTGCACGTCTGACTGTGCAGAATCTGGTCTAGTTCGCGAACTCTAAAATAGAACTTGTTCCACACCGTTTTCCATGTTTCCATTTAATTTAACCACAAAGGAAATTTAAAAAGTGCGATAGATCTTATACCAGCCAGAAACAGTTACTTGAAGTAAATAGAAATCAACTGGGGGCAAAATGCAAAACATTCAGTGAAAATAGGAGGGGGGATTGAGATATCATAAACCAGGTGGATGCACGGAGCAGGAGCATGTAATGCTCAAAAGCTGATGGGATGCATTGTTCTGGAATGGATTTCCACGAAATTGGGTTGTGATGTGGATAGGGGTGGAGTTGACAAGGATGACGGGACTGTTAATGGGAATAATACCAATATAAAAATTCATGAGCATGTGGCCTCTAATTTCCTACCACTTTGAAATTCTCAACGAAGTCCAAATTGGAAAGTGTAATTTGTGTTTGCTCGCAGTCGACATAGTTTAATGCACTCCCCAAGATTTCAAGCGAATGGCGGAGGGACCTCTTGATTAGTCGTCAGGCGAAATAGCACGTCATAGTACATTTGAGATCAGCGGGAAGAAGATGACGACGTCCACTAATTTAGTATCTGTGCACACGAATCTGCTGTGTGTGTGACTCTCTGTGTCAGCTATGATATCATCTTCTGTGGTTCCATGCCTAGCATGTACGTCTGAACCATCCTGCAAAGTTTGAATGACGTAGGTTGAGCGATCGCTCCGCAAAACACACTTTTTGAAATTCTCTTCATAGTATATCTTCCACCATTGAAATTTCGAATTTCTTCAAAAAAAGTGCTGAGAGGAGTGGCTTGCAACCTCGATATGGCTTGTTCCAGGCATGCTTTGGAGCCATCTTCTGTTGAAGTAGTGGCGGGGATCTGCCCTGCAACTGCTACAACAAAAAATGATTCGATCTGAGAAAGGGTGAGACCGCGAATCTCGGTTGAATATTGAGTATTTCAAGCCTTTTCACGACGAAGATGGAGTTCTTTTTGGAGATGGACGTCGCGGCAAAGGACATGGTGTCCGACTTCTGGCATCTGGTGAAGCCAGGGATCATTTGTCCAGTCAGGTCGGCAGCCTAACCGTCGGTAAGCTTGTGTTTGGATCCCGTTCTGCTCGATGTGGTAGATCACAAACAATTTGATATCGCACAAATTGATCTCAGCATCGTGCGTACAGTATTTTATATTCAGAAAATCCCAAAGTGTCTCTGTGTGGCCGCCCTATGCCACGAGAGACTCCAATCATCCTCCGATGTCCTCTGCCTTCATGATTGAATGTCCACTTCGTTTGAACAACGAACACAACAATCGAGGACGGCTTTGCAATGAAAAATACAGCTATACTGGAGCTGAAAAAAAAGAAGAAATAACGTGCTCAGGATGAGACTCGAGTACACGCATACTCTCCCAGCAGGAGAAACGCAAATTTTTGTGAAAAATGCGTGTCGCCGACTGACCAGTAATTTCGCCTGATGGTGAGTTGCCAGTACGATGCAAGCCAGATATTGATTGATCGAAGAATGACAGATTTGCCATCACTGTAGATAAGAGTCATACTGTAGCTCAGTTGGTTAGAGCATTGCTCGTGAATAGCAAGGTCACTGGTACAAGTCCCGGTGGTGTGACTAATGATTTTCCTTCTTTCTTATCTGGCTTCCAAGTGTAGAGTTTCGGAGAGAAAAGAGCAGTACGAGGCATGCGGCCTCTATTTTCCTAACACTTTGAAATTCTCCGTGAAGTCCAAATTACACAAATTAGAAAGGACCAAGGAACTACAAGTTACGCTATACTGTTCTCTAACACTACCAGTTACTAAACAATCAGCTCATGCGATAACATTGCACGACACTGACCGACGGTACTGACAATCTGCGACTATCTGGGTAAACGCTCTAGCACATCTTGAATGCGCACGCCAGCAGCCTTCCGTAGTTCCTTGGTCTTTTGTATAAAATAATCCTTGGCTCATATTGCTGGTGAACGAGATTTCATTTTTCTTGGCCAGGTCACGAAGTTCGTCAAAGCCGAGGATGGCAAGATCGGCATTAGATAGATCCTCAGCCATACTATGTCCACTACTTCAGAATTACCATGCGTGGAAACTAGTGGAAAACAACAGCTTCGTCATGCTCTGAAAATCCTATTAATGCGGAGTAACGGAATTTGCATCCATGCAGCACTGTACAAAAACTTTGGAATGAGTTCGAGATCGCAGAGTGAATGGGCAGAGAGCGAGTCTGCTCTGAAACATTTTACTCACTATATTTTAACACGGAAAATGTGGGCACAAGTTATGCGATCGTGTCCACCAGCTAAACCAGAATTGTTAATCCATGAGCCTTCCAAGTCAGAAGACCGTTGATTAGCGCTATCGAGCAGTGCTCAAGCTGACTTTCATGCCGTGGAATGTCTCAGTACTCCTTGTCAGGGTTGTGCTAGACTGTACACGTCTGACTGTTTAAAATCTGGTTGACTGTTGAGTTAGTGACCTCGATCGCAGAAC